CCCCCAGCGGGCCACATGGGAGTCACCGGGCCTTGTGTTTGACACGTGATTTAGGTGATAAATTCTCTTGATTCACCTTCAGTGATTTTCATAGAAACTTACAGGACACTTTGCACTTCTAGGTGAGTGGGAAACCACCTTGCATTTATCAGGACAGCCCCAGATAAGTAGCTTTAAAATACTGCTTTTTCCATCTTACAGTCAGGAGAAGAGGAATGTCCACTTTCAGTTTTTGGGTGTTACTTCTCAGGACATAATGAAAATGATCTGGATTGACCTCTCTCTGCAGGTTGTATTGGACCGCCTTGTTCAAATGAAAACAAAGAAGAAGCCTGGTTCCTGTTGTTCTGCTGACATCGTTCATCACTGTGATTGGCCCAGCTGTTTCACAGCATTAAGACTAATGTTGACAGAATTTACTAACAGCCACGCCCTCCAGTTTTATAATCCACCCACACTAAGCTGCTGATCACACATCAACATCTGTTGTGTACCAAGAACTGGGCTGTTCAAGCTTTGCAATCACCTGAAATACATGCATTAACAGAAAACATCCCAATTCTTTTCTACAGAAACACAAGACGTTCTTGAGAGCAGCAGCCAGATCCAGACTCAGCCTCATTAACACAGCAGTCAGATAAACATTGCATCATCCTGCTGCATGTCTGTGCTCTGTAACAAGAACAAAAACACTGCAGAGAGAAGACACCTGCAGAAACTCAACCAGGAAGTGGATTTTAATGGTGCACTTTCCAAAATGCTGAAAACATGTTAGGCAGATGGACAGAGGTCAGCAGGAAGAGAATTTAATTTACAGAAACAATTCTGAAAAATAATCACAGTTGTCAAGTTAAGTCTGATTAGAACGGAAATGAAAAATATAAGATATATTATTGCTCAATCTAAGCTCTTAAAGCAATTAACAACTCTGATTTGAAATGGCTCCATCCCTGTTAAAATATATTTGTAAAATTTTACAAAACTGAACAGCCTACAGTATTTTTACAGCCTTTAATACCCAGCTTTTTATTTAATGTTCATCAAATCAGGTCTTATGTTACAACTAATCATGGATCCCTTTAACAACTCTGAGTTCAGTACCTTTGTTTKGTTGTGGATCCATAATCATCTAACATCTGAGTGCTGGCCATCTCCAGATTCCAGCCACACATCTCCAGGAGCTTTAAACACTCAGAGCGACTCCTCAAACCCAAACAGAACAACTGCTCCACCTGCAGAGAGACAAAAAACAACTGGTCCCTGAACAAAACATGGACTCTTCTTCTTTTCTAACAGGAACAGAGGGCTAGAAGAGCTCAGCTCCCTGTTCTTGTGTTACTTCAATGAAACCTGAGCTCTCTGCTCAGCTTTGTTTCTCTCATGGCTCTCACTGCCACCATGAAGGAAACCTGAAGTGCTCCCTGGTCCAAACACACCTCTCATCCTGCAGCGGCCAATTTAAACAAAGACGGTTGGGACGGGCTTTAAAAGGAGGATTTATTTGGTGTGGCAGCAATGTCTGAATTTTTTCCTTAAGTGTCCACAATGATCTGCTGGAAATGAAACTATAAAGTACAAACTATCTGATTTTATTGATGTTCTTTCAGTTGTTATATCCTTTAGTAAAGAAAACATTATAAAAACCTCTTCCAGTCAGAGCTGGGATGCTGGGTCTGTCTCTGAGAATCCTCTCTGTTTTGATTGACTGAATCATAAAATCCTTATTACCAGTTTTACTTTGATACTTTGAGACAGACAGACATGCTGTGTTTATACAGCTGAATTCAGTGAATCACTTCAGTACACACAGGTGATTTAGATGAGGGGGAGTCTGAAAAGACAGAGACCCCAGTAATCCTCCCTGAGGGCCCCCACAGCAAGGACAATAGCAATAACTGTAAAAACACAAGACTGTTCTGGTTCCAGTAGACCAGAGTCCACATCACTTTTATAACCAGTCTGATGGCAAACAAGATCTTTGGGGTTATTTTCAGAACAATTTGATGAAGAATAAAAACAACTGACAGCCAATCAAAACACAGAGAATCATGAGGTTTTTTTATTCCTCATTTTATTATTATTTGCAGAACAGAATCTTTAACAACACATCCCAATAAAGTGATAGTTTGGCCATTCTGACGTGGGGTTCTATGGAAAAGATTTGAAGAATGAATGTCTTATCTGTTGTAGATAACTCATTGAACAACATCAATTGAATTCTGACAGGACTGATGAGTTAATGGCTAGTCTAACTATAGCTATCTCCAGGTGTTTGAGACACTTGGACATTCTAATCTCAGTAAATACTCATATAGTGTGAAGCTGACTGTTTTTATTTGTTTATAAAATAAAGTTCACATAGACCCTAGAAAACCTTTCATATTGTTGATGTTTGAAAACAGCAGCAGTCCCTTTTTGTCTTTGCTGTATTTGGACTAAATCTTTCAAACTATCTGGGGTCTTATGAAACTATCTACAACAGGTTAGGTTTACGGTCAGGTATGTACCTGTGAAGTTAGGTTTATTTAGTTCGATTTACTGTGTAGTTTTTACACAGTGCTCAACACTGTGTGAAAAAAATACATTTTATTTCTGATTTCTTCAGAGAACATGTTTTCATGCTTTAATGTGCATAAGTTTGGTATCTGGTAATAAGATCCAGAACAGAACTCTCAAGTCTTTATTATAGAGTCTCATTTCATTCTTTATGACGTATAATTATTAACTGTCATAATAAATGAATATTTTTTGAACAGACCACTTTAAAAGGATAGTTTGGCTACTTTGAAGTGGGTTTCTGTGGAAAAGCTGTAAATAATAAATATCTAACCTTAACTCAATTCACACTTTAGTCTTAAACCTCCTCCAGTTTGGTTCAACAGGTCTGAATCTGCAGTAGGAAGCACTGATCAATGTGCAGCTGCTAGTGTTGCCTGGCGCCTCTGATTTCAGCTGTCAGCTTCACTTTGAGTCACAATTATTCAGCCAGCATCAAGAAATCAATCAAGACTATCAAAATTATTTTTACTGAAAAACTATGGGCTATTTTAAACAAGAAACTGATTGTTTTAGTCTTTGAGCAGGAGATGATAAAGAGTTTTAGACATGAAATTTCAGATTTGATGAGGTAAAATAAACACTTGAATTTCATTTGTGTATTTTTCTTATTCTGGTCTGAAGTTAAAATGATAAACTTTTAAAATTGTGTTTTTTGGTAAACCAGGACAAACTAAACTAAACAAACTAAAGAGGAATCAGTCCAGCAGTACATTTGAGTCAATAAAAAATGTTTAACAATTATTTACCAAATGTGCTTAAAATATCAACCTGTGAAGTTTTTCTTACAGATTCTGTGAACAAACTGTAGAAAAGTTGTCATTTCAGAAAATAACGAGCACTGAAAACAGGTTTTGTGGTTTTGAACAAATTTCAACACAAGAAGACTATAACCCATCCACTGTCCAGATACTGAGATAAAGAGATAATGTAATAGAAGCTGAGAGTTATACTCACATTATAAACTCTGGCAAGTAAAATGGCTTCATTTATTATTGTTGCGCATCATATTGAAGTCTTTTGTTTTCTTCATAATTTACTTAAGGAAACAACTAAAAGAGCAATGGGCCTCATGCAAGAACATGTTCGTATTCTTTTCCTAAATTTCTCTTACATTTGTTTGTACAAAGGGTTCATACGAACATGTCACGTCAGATTCAACAAACTCTTCTATTTTCAGGAAAAGGGTGTAAATGAGCTGCGTAAATTCCACCTGTTCATATCCAGCTGCTCGTGCACGCGAGAGGAGATTAACATAATTACCACCCCAAAAACACCATTTAAGGCTATGTTTCCTGCCTCAGATACAAGGAAGTGTTCATTCATGAAAAATGACAGCGAAAACTAAAAAGAAAAACTTTACGAGTTCAGAGATTGAAGTCCGTCTGTCAGAGATCCAGAAAAGAAAATCTGTCATTTTTAGCAGCTCAGCTGTGGAATAAAATGAGCTGCTAAAAGTATAAACAACTGTGTTAAATCATTTTCATTTATTCAGAAGATACAGCGCCGCGCACCGTATCCCCCCCCCAGCGCGCTGCGCGGTCACAGGTGGTCTCAGATGCGGGTTTAAAATAAGCATTTTAAAATGTTTTCAAAATAAGTCTGGCACTTTGGAGAAAATCCAGGACTCGCTGGAGGGATTATGTATCCCCTCTGGCCTGGGAACGTCTCAGAGTCCCCCAGGACGAGCTGGAAAGTGTCGCTGGGGAGAGCGGGGTCTTTCTCCTGCTGCCCCCGCACCCGATCCCGGATAAGCTGGCCGGACGGACAATTTATATTGTTRGTCTAAATTATTACATTTAAAATTATAACTCTAATTCAAGCAGAATAGCCTATTGTCAAGATAATTATGGAGTGTGATTTATTTTCAACTCAAAATATCTTCAAACTAACGAAATATAAAGTTATTAGGGAGGAAAACCCATCTGGATAACAGCAGACTGACTGCTCGTAAAACATACAACAGGTCTGGACCACTCGTGAATTTTGTTCGTATCTGAAAAAAATCTTAGAATACGAAAACATTGGTGAATGCCACAAATTCTCCTAAATCACTCGTACGCACAACTTAAGAACAAATCTGTGCGTACGAACGGTTTTTGCATGAGGCCCAATGTTCTCATATTAATGCTGGTTGAGGTCAGAACCTTTGATTCCTTATCATAAAAAATTGAATTTAAACTGCAGAGAAACTTTCCCACTTTCACAGAGAAACTGTAAAACTGAGTGAAAATTAGAATGTGAATAATACCAGCTGTGTCTCTGTCCAGTGAATGTCCTCCAGCATCCGTCATGGTGCAGGAAGTCGAGACCTCTGCTACTGTCAACCCATCTGAAGACACACGAGGGAGACTAACTGATGTCTTCAGCCCTGAACATGGTCCACTCAGACTCATGTTATTATTAGAGGACAAGTTTGTCTTTAGCTCCCCCGGCTGGATGAGCCCGTGTCCCTGGATGTGTCCCTGGACTGTTTGTGTGTTGACCACCATTGGTCTGACTGTAGCCATGTTGGGCGGCCGTACAGGTCTCTCCTCTGCGTCAGTGGTGGGGAGGCTCTCTGCCTCGGCAGTTTGCAGAGATCTACTCGTCCAGTCTCAGTATCAAAAAGGACATAATTTTTCGTCTCCCTACTCCTCACTTCTTTAAATAAAACAGAATGTAATGTGTTGCTAGTATTATTTAATTTAAAGTATTGTCAAACAAAACTATCTACTTAACCATATATTTACCTACAAAAAAAGAAAAGATAAAATCCTTAACTCCTGACAGCGAAACAGAAAAGTGATGCTCGATCAAATTTTTTTACCTCCTTCAATTAGTACTCCCTGTAACGTGCGAGCTATGATGGGTGGAAACACTGAGACACTGAGAGAACCACAGACTAAAATAACTTTGGAGCACAGGAACTCGTCTCCATTTATTCAAAGAACACTCCTCTCCTTCTCTCCATACAGAGGAGGAAAAACAAAACAAAAAACTAAAGTTGTTATGGAATAATTATGTATATCTGTTCTACCTTGACACTGTCCAGTAATCATATCTCATGATAACTAGTTTCGGCTGTTTTAATCTATCGGCCCAGACTTCAAGACTCCAGCAATGCATGACCTCTTTTATTCTGATAAGGTGTTTCCGGGCTGACAGCCCTGTCATTGGGTAGATGGTTCACAGTTGTCGAACTGTGATTGGTTGTAAGCATGTTACAGGATGTTATATTATCGGCTGCTCTGCGCTGACGAGCCAGCCACAACTTGACAGACTTCCTGATTGACTTCTGCTCTGTTGTTGCTCAGATTAAATCATTTGACGACCATACACGCTGACTTTCTGTGCATTTATTCCAATGTGTTTCTGCATTCTTGGTAAATCGTGCCACTGTGATAACTATGTTTTGGGGTTATTAATTACTGTGGGAGGAATAAAAATTGAATTACTGGGGTTGGGATTTTAGAAAAGTACATATATTTAGGTTTATGTTGACATGTTTTTTTAAATACATTAAAGTGTTTTTTTTTTGTTTTATTGATCATTTAATTGGTGATTTAATGATCAGATGGGGGAGATGTAATGGAACTAAAACTTGTATGTTTAAGCAAGTAATTCATGACAACCTTTAATGACCTACTGTAGGTTTTCATGACATGCTGTTCATCTGCAGATAGAATGATTAAAGTCAGAACAAGATTTGCAACAACAGTCATTCTTAGATATCACTTGTGTTTATCTTTGTGTTTTCCATTGACCTTGTATCAAATCTTGCTAAGATGACATAATGGTGTTTGTCAATATATATATGAGGCCTCTTGAGACACAGTGTACAACAGTAGTGTGGAGAGACAGTGACAGAGAGAAGCAGAGGCACAGAGACAGGCCAGGTTCTCTGTGTTTCCTGTTGTTACAATAAAACTCAGCTGATCATCTCAC